TCAGTCCATTCCTAGGCAAAGATGGAGAGGAGGCAAGGAAGGCACTGCACGGCTGGTAAGAAATGAGAGCAAGTGGGGCTGGCAAAATGCCTTGATTGGGTGAGAGATCTGGGATGACACAGAGAATAAGGGGAGGGTACACCAGCAGCTACTATAACATTTAGAGTTATGCTGCAACTACCTAGACTGAAGCCATGACACAGATGATTCATGAGCAACTGTACATAGTATGGGCTTGCTGCAATTAACCAGCATATAGAGGGGCTGCATCGGCCTTACTACTACATGCAGATGGTTACCACAACTAGCTGGAAAAGAAAGGCTGTACTGATGTAGAGAAGTCCTGGTGCTAGCTACCATCTGCAGTGGTGGGGCACAAACTACTCAGCCCATAGAGAGGATCCCTCTGTTTGGAGCCACACACTGTTCACTCCATCTCCACCGGTTAAGACCATGGGTTAGCCCCTAAAGTTCTATTTGTTGTGATCATTGTCTAGCCTGTTAAAAAAGAACAGGAGACATATCTTCCTTCTTGCCTCTCCTCTCCAAGGAGGTAAAACACCCAGGATGGAAATAAAACAACAAAGCAAAACAAGCTTGGCCAAAGACCACACAAATGATTAAAAAAAGGGAAAAACACAACTACTGAGAGGGAGAGAGGAAGAAGATAACTGAGGGAGAGAGCAATCCTGTTTGCTTCCTTTTCCTGAAGAAACAGTCCAACTACCATGCCTGTGCTACATACCTTAAACAAAGAGAGCTCATCCTATAGTTCCCACAAAGAGGTAGTAGAGGAAACAAACAGAAAAAATATAAAGAATTAGCAAAATGCAAAAAATGAAAGAGAAAAAGTGAACTTATGCATTTATCCAAAATGCGCCCACCCTTCATTTTTCAAGGAGAGAGAGTAGGGAAGATGAAGGGTGGTCAGACAGGGAAAGAAACAAACTTAGGGAACCCAAACACACAAGAAGCAAAGCAAAGCAAGAAATAATTGAGGTTGCTTAGCACACAGACTGCAGTAAAGCTTTGAGATCTGGTGCAAGCAGCATCTTCACACCAAGGCTAGAAAAAAATTATGTCATGTCTGATCTTGCAACAGTAGCTCTAACAGGGATAAAACAGTATGGTTGGTACATGAGTAGTTTCCAGGGTGGATATTTCCTCTATTGTCTTCCTTGATATTTGGATGTGTTGTGCATTTGCTACAATCACTTTAGCCTTTACTCCCGACCTCAAACGACTATAAAGAAAGAGTGAGAGAGAAGGAAATTACCTTCTGCCAACATTTGCAAAAGCCATGGCATGAGCTGTCTTAACTTTCACATTATTAGGAAAACACTTAGAGCAGTGTTCCTCTACTGATTTATTGTAGACCACAAGCAAGAACTTCTGGTGTGGACGTTGTTGGCACATCTGAAGTAAGGTGGTGGTTTTGCCAGTCCCAGCAAAGGCTACGATTTTCACAATCTACGGGTGAATGGTAGACATCCTTAAAATTATGGTGTAGATATATGAAACCAATATAAAAATGTAATTATATTCACTTCACATTATACTGAGCAACTTTGCTGCATGACTCATTGTGAATTTCATAAAAATATTTATGCTCATTTTAGAATCAGTGAAAAAGAAAAATATCATATCTTCCCAAATGTTAACTTATAAAATATCAAAAAGCAAATAAATAAAACACAAAAACTTACATGATCTGTCTTAATATCATGGTTTATAATTCTCATCTGTTCATGAGTATGTTGTACTTTTGGCTTGTAATTCATGAACTTTTGCATGGACTGCTGGCCACAATGACTCTGTTTTAGCCTCCCAGGGTCGTCGGCAGGAGCCAGAGTCCACCGATTCTCGTACAGATACAAGGCATAGTTGACTATATAATGGTACCTGTTTAGAAAAGAAAAGAAAAAGAAGAAAGAAAGAAAGAAAGAAAAAAAAAATTGTCAAGAGTACAGAAGATATGTATGCTTTCGCTTTTGTTTCTTATTGTGTTGCAAGAAATATTCATCAACGATAGAAGAAATAATTAACATAATGTTGCTGGGATGACACATGCACATATGCCATGCTCATAGTGAGGTTGATTTATCAATTGTATTTAGACATATTTACAGACTAGTTTACATGCATTATACAAATCGTATTCACTAAAAACAAACAAGGAAAAAAAAACAACAACAACTCTTTTCTCGCTCTTTCCTTTCGTCTGACGTACCTTGTGGGGAGCTCGTATTCCCTAGTGCAGTGAAGGAAGAACGTGGACATGCAATAAAAGGCTTCCGTAATATCTCTGGGAGTGAAGACCGAGCCTCGAGAAAGCAAAAGCTGCAGGAGTGCATCAACTTGCCACATATCCTTTGCAACTAAAGGGCATTTCATTTAATGAGTATTTAATCAGATTTTGCTCATTCACATTGTATATCACAATACCATTCCTCACTTAAAACAAACAGAAAAAAAAAAAGGAAAAAGAATAGTTCCTCATCTATTTCATAAATTCTAAGGATACTCATTGTTTTTAATGACTGGAAAAAAAAAAAAAAAAAATAAATAAATAAAAAAGAAATAAAAATAAATAAATAAATGATAGTGAAAAATCCTTTACCCTTCAAAAGAACCAAAACCTAGTCTTATCTTAGGGAATACTTACGAACTACAATCATGGAGACAATATGCCATATGTTGCGACGCTCTGGGATAAGATCTTGCCCGTGGAAGTCCAAAGCGGCAACGGCTAATTCGTACAGCGGATGGCTCTTCAGGACGTTGATTGTTGCTTTTGACTCAAACGGAATTCCATGAGAGTTTCCCATCAACCTGAAAATGATCGAGAAGTTCATTTTATATGCAGACAATGAAGAAGAAGAAGAAGAAGAAGAAGAAGAAGAAGAAAAAGAAGAAGGAAGAAGGAGGAGATGAAGAAGAAGAAGATTAAGAAGAAGAAGGAAAGGAAGAGGAAGAAGAAGAAGAAGAAGGAAAGGAAGAAGAAGAAGAAGAAGGAAAGGAAGAGGAAGAGGAAGAAGAAGAAGAAGAAAAAAAAAGAAGGAAAGAAAGGAAGAAGGTGAAGAAGAAGAAGAAAAAGAAGAAGGAAGGAAAGGAAGAAGAAGAAAAAAAGAAAAACAGAAAGGAAAAAATTGCCAACATTGTGCAATTTTTACAAAATGTAAATAACGACTGAATGACTAAGAAAAATAAGAATGAATGAAAAACAATAAATAATTGGATAGAAAAACAACATTTTGCCATTCATAATCTCAAGCTCATAAGAGAACAATAACTTAAACATTCCATAGAAACAATAAAAACTTACAACCATACAAATACAAACCTAACGATGCTAATGAGACAATCTTCTAATGATGTGATGTGGTGCTGAACACAGAGCTCTTTAACGATATCTTTAGTCTGAACCAGTTTTTCGGCCTTTGACGGGGAGAGCAGAAAAGCCGATGAGAGGCTCTCTGGCGCCAGTTTCAGCCGATGGTATATCTTTTTCCAGGGGATGAACTGACGGAGATTGAAGGTCATAAATATGGGAATAAAATAATTGAAGAACTTATTACATTCCCTATTTTTCTACAAAAGATAAGTTCTCTCAACAAATTTATTCATAAAGTTATCAATTATCTGTATATCCTACTAAATGAATTTGAACTCTTTGTAAATACATTTATTATTGACCATTCATTTAATTTTTCAATTATTTATTATTCATTTATTCATAAATATAAATGATTTTCACATTGGAGTACTGCACTTAATATATGTAGGCATTTTCCTTATTCTTTATTGGTATTTGTTCCTTACAACTACCTATTATGCCCTGATGTTATTATACATATACCAATCTCCCAATCCATACCTATAGAACTTGCAGCTGGATTCATAACAATTCTCTAATAGGAGTCTACTTACTGCTGGATTCATAATAATCCCTGACCAGTAGTGGCAAACAGTAGAGTGTACTGTAAGCAGAGCTGGCAGGGGCAACTGTGCCAGTACCATCTCCAGTATCTCTGCAGGGAGAGCCCATGATGACGAGCCTCCCAACACTTCAGCCATTGTTACCTCTTAGCTGCAATGGAAACAAACACAGAATCATCAAGCATATCAGGTTGTTAAGAAATGGTCTTATACAGGTGTTCCTGTAAATGTTAATGATAAGAAATCTGTAGGATTCAAGCATGGGTAACTACATATAATTATTAACAAAATATATGCCAGCATGTCAGGAACACAGACATGAGGCAATTTTCTGCATCAAGTACAAAATGGAGAGGAAAACAAATAAAACAATACTGCTTTCACTGAGAAAAGAGAATGCCTTTAAACCAAAGGAATTAGTAAAAAACTGATACTCTTGGATAACATCTGAAAAATATTGATAACTAAACAGAGATAATAGCAAACAATGAAAATAAAAAACAACACTCAAAAAGACACACATACAAAACAATACAACAACAACAAAAAAGATAAACCAAACAGTTACCTATTATTTACTTGATAAAAATATATCACATGATACATATATATATATATATATATATATATATATATATATATATATATATATGTACACACACACACACACACACATATAAAACAGATGGAAAAAAGAACACAGTGTTATGAAACAACTCAGGTACTTTAAAGTTGGATAAATATATTGTGCAAAAATGATTTAATCAAATTATTTACAAAGACTGTACTTTACACGACACACCAACACACGTACAAAAAAAGAAAAGAAAGAAAGAAAGAAAAAACATTAAGTATCCTTCAGCATTCACGTCTACTGAAATTAGTTTCAGCTCCGGACAGCCGAATAGTACAAGGTAATCTTTAGCTGTAACTGATAGAATGACAGAAAATAATACATTTTTCATATGTGGTATTTCCTTTGAGGATAAAAGAGTTGTACAATGCGCAATAATTTGGTATACTTTAACAAGAAACTCAAATGACACTATTGTAAAGAAAGG